GAGAAGTGGGGGAACAGGCGTGCTCCTGGGAAGGAGAATGCAGCGGGGTCCCTTGTTTTGAGGCTTTTGTTTCTCTGGCAGGCGGGTGTCTTAGGGGAGGTCTCAGGGGAGAGTTTCAGCAGAATAGTCATCACTTTTCTAGTTGTGTCCTTCAGGGCCGTGGTCCTCACTGATGGTCAGTGCCAGGGCAAGGGGTTTGTAGTCATTGCAGCTGGTCCTGGTGTCACCCACCTGGTTTTGCTGCTTTTCTGGGTCTGGAGCTGAATACAACTGAGGCCCAGATGTTATGTCTAGGCAGGTGACCTTCTGTGTCTGCTGTAAGTTGCTCCACCAGTGTGTTCAGCTCTGCCTCAGTTTCCCTGTTTCCCTTGTCCTGGCTCACTGGCCTGTCTCAGACCTACTCTCAGACGTGGGAAAACACTGGTAACTGGTATTTAAGTTGCACGTCAGTGTATTCACAAACCCCAAAACTCTGAACTCACTGCGCAGGGAGGTTTATGGAGGCTTCATTATATAGGCATGATTGATGACATCATTGGCCTTTTGACAGAGTCGTCAATCTCGGAACCAAACCCTCAGGTTGGAGGTGGGTTGAAACTGCCAACCCTCTATTCTTGGCTTGTCTTTCAGGAGACAGACAGCCCTCATCCAGAAGCTGTCCAGGACGTCCAGAGGATGAATTCCTGCCTAGAGTCATCTCATTAGCATACAAAAGACACTAAAGTCCAAGCTCTGGAGCCAGGAAACAGGGACAAAGAGCAACTAAATGTCATACCACCCAACCAGTGGCGGCTTTACTAGCCCTGTCCCCTCAGACTTGCAGTGTTCCCAGAGCCCTTCCCTTTATCCTGGCTGGATTCCCACTGCCTTTAGCTCCAGCAAGGGACACCTGGCACACCCCCATTACCCTGGTCACCTGCTGCCATTCCCTGTGACAACTTCTTTATCAGTGGGAGGAAACAATTGCCTGGAAGCAAAAACTCAAGGGATGGAGAAAATGCTCCAGAAAATGGCAGTCTTGCCTCTTATTTTATACACCAGAAGCAAAGGGGAAGACTTAATGGGGTAACATGAAATTCACCGGTGATAGATTAGGGAGGCAGGAGAAAGCAAAGGAGTCGGGGTGGAATCTTCAGGACTGGGTATAAAGTAAAAGGAATAAGCCCTGGCCAGTTTGGCTCAGTGGTTAGAGCCTTGGCTTTTGGACCAAAGAGTTGCGGGTTCTTGGGTTTGATTCCAGTCAAGGGCATGTACCTGGGTTTCTGGGTTGTAGGTTCGATCCCTGGCCCCAGCTAGGTGGTTCAGGATGTAACCAATCAATGTGTCTCTCTCACATAAGATGTTTCTTTCTCTCCCTCTCTCTCCCTCCCTCCTTTCTATTCTATCTAAAAATCAATGGAAGAATATCCTTGAATGAGGATTAACAAAAAAGTAAAAGTAATTAGACACATGCTTCTTCTTTTTTTTAAAATTCTCACTCAAGGATATTTTTCCATTTATCTTCCATTAGAGTGGGAAGGAGAGAGAGAAAGAGAGAGAGAGGGAGAGGGAGAGGGAGAGGGAGAGGGAGGGGGAGGGGGAGGGGGAGGGGGAGGGGGGAGAGAGAGAAAGAGAGAGAGAGATGAATGTGAGAGAGACAACATCAATTGGTTGATTGGTTGCCTCCTGCATGATCCCGACCAGGGGACTGAACCGAAACCAAGGTACATGCCCTTGACCAGAATCGAACCCGCAACTCTTTGGATGAACAAAACCAGCCAGGGCATTCTTTTTTTTGACAGATACTTGCTTTTACAAAGGTGGGTGTAGGATAGTTAAAGTTAATTAAAAGATCTGAGCCGGCGGGAGATCACATCCACAGCACAAGGCCAATGCAGAGCAAAACGGCTTTATTGCATGCACCTGGGTGCAGGCGGGCTGAGCCGAGAAGGGCTCAGCCTCGAATAACTGTTGGGCGTAGGTTATATACTCTACTTTTAGCTTCCGGCAGTTCCTGCTGACGTACTCTGCCTGGCCCTCCGTCCACTTTGCAGTTGGACTGGTCTGGTATCACATCTTGCATCTGCTGGGTGATTCATCATCTTGCGGATAATCCAGGTAATCCTTATCCCTACTCAGCAGAAGGCTGAGCAAAGGTCATGTGAGCAACACAATTTCCACAGTTTCCAGAAGCTTTTGCAAGCCTTTACCTTTACCCTTTAAAACGTTACTAACCCTTTCAACAATGAACATGATGATACTCTGAGGCGATTTGTGGCATGGTTGTCGTGCTTTTAGTGGGGAAGGGCATTACTTTGATATTCTAAAGGTATGTTATCATAGATGCAAAAAAAAAAAAACTACAGCAGTCTCAGTTCCAGTAAGGATTGACCTTTGTTAGGGAAAAGTACCGGCCTAGGACAGGACTACCTGCCATGAACTGCTTTTAGTTAGAAAGAATTAGCCTGTGTGGTTACTGTAGGTCTCCTGAGTGTGTAAGGCCACCATGCAGGCCTCTCCTGAGCTTGTCGGCTTGCTTTTATTTTCTTTCTTTCTTAATTGATGTTAGGAAGAGAGAAAGGGATATATAGAGAGAAACATCGATCAGCTGCCTCCTTTACACACTTTAAATGGGGATCAAACCCAAACACACAACCTGGGTAAGTGCCCTGACCAGGAATCAAATCTAGGACCCTTTGGTGTACAGGACAATGTTCCAACCTAAAAGGTCCGAGCCGGCGGGAGATCACAACCACAACACAGGCCAATGTAGAGCAAAATGGCTTTACTGCATGCACCTGGGTGCAGGCGGACTGAGCCAAGAAGGGTTCAGCATCGAATTAGGTTTGGGGTGTCAGTTATATCCCCTACTTTCAGCTTCTGGCAGTTCCTGCTGATGTACTTTATCTGGCCCATCGTCCACCTTGCAGTAGGGCTGGTCTGGTCTCTCTGGCATCTGCTGGGTTATCCATTGCCTCCTGGACAATCCAGATAAACCTTAATCCATATTCAACGAAAGACTGAGTCAAGGTCATGCAAGCAACACAATTTCCAGTTTCCGCCTTTTGCAAACTTTTACTTTTACCCTTTAAAACATTACTAACCCTTTCACAACCAACTGAGCCACACTGGCCAGGGTAACCGTTATGTGGCCCCTTTTTGGTCCACATGATGAGCTGGGCTCCAGCCGTTGGGGAAGTGAGTTTGTGGCATTTCTGCTTTCTGAGATGAGGAAAGGGGCCAGATGCTGGGTGGAGAGTGTTAGCTCTTAACTGCCATATTACTGCCCAAACCTCTCATTCCAGAAAACCAAAACCCATCACTCCAGTCAGGTGGAACAGAATGATGGAACCACCCTAACCCACTGAAAACTGCAAATGGTTGCGCCACAAGAAAAACAAGTTTCAGGAGACCCCAGCCCCCCACCAATCAAGAACTCGGGAGACCCCAGACCCGACCAACCAAAGGTGACCACATCTCCCCGGCTGACCGACCACCCCCCACAGCCCTGAGTTTAAAAATCCCTAGTCTGTACAAGCCCAGTCACTACTCTCTCCTTGGAGGCAGTCCGGCAGGCTGATTCCCAATAAACCTGAACTTCAGGAGACCCTGCACCACCTTGTTCCACCTCCTTCCACCTCGTTCTTACAGAGAGGGATGGCCAGGGCCCGGACAGTGCTCTACATTAGCATTCACCTCACCTGCCCAGAGGATCAGTCCTGGGTGGGTGAACCGTACCCATGCCCTGCCACTCACACCCTGTCTGGCACTGGGTTTTCTGGGTATCATTGGGTAGTGCTCCAGCTCACCAGCCCCATGCAGAATTTCTGTCTATAACCTGCCTCCAAGCTGTATGGAAGGGTCTTAGCCGAAAACAATGATTCTCATCAAGCTGGGTGTTTGGCTGTGAAGGTGATGTTATTTGGAGGTGGGGGTCTTTGGGAGGTAATTAGATGGAGAGGTGCAGCACTCATGAATGAGATTAGTGCCCTTATAGAAGAGGCCCCAGAGAGGTCCCTTGCCCTCCCGCCATGTGAGAACACAGGGAGAAAGGGCCATCAGTGAGCCGGGAAGCTGGCTCTTATCAAACACAGAATCTGCTGGCGGCTTCTTCTTCTTCTTCTTCTTCTTCTTCTTCTTCTTCTTCTTCTTCTTCTTCTAAATATGTTTTTATTGATTTTGGAGAGAGAGGAAAGTGGAGAGAGAGAAACATCAATTGGTTGCCTCCCATAAGTGCCCTGACCAGAACTCGAACCCGCCACCTTTCAGTGTAACAGATGACACACTCCAACCACCTGAGCCACCAGGCCAGGCTCTGCTGGCTCCTTGACCTCGGACTTCCCAGTCTGCAGAACCGTGAGAAATAAATGTCTGATGATTGCTGTAGCAGCCTGAAGGGACGGAGAGTGCCCCAGGGCCCCGTTTCTGTCAGCCACTGTGCTCTCCACAGGATGTGCTCCACTCTCGTGGACAAGGGCGCGGGCCAGCCAGCACCCCTGAGCCCTGGGTGGCCTAGGCTGCCAGGACCGGCCGCCTGAGCCAGGCTGGCCCCAGCCAGGGCTGAGCCTGCTTGGACTGGGGGTGGGATGACCTAGAGACAGAGGCGTGTCACCCCAGGGGCTGGGGTCCTCAGAGCTGGGGTCCCCGGAGCCCCCGGAGCCCCCGGAGCCCCCGGACTGGACTTCGGGGAGGGAGCGGGCACTTGTTGCGCGCCCGGTGTGCAGGTCTGCTCGGGCACTGTCGCCGCCACCTCCCCTGGCCCTCGGCTGCGGGAGGGGGCGTGGGGGCAGCGGCTGAGCCGGTGGTGCCATTCCCGCAGACACCCCTCTTCGCACCGAGGGCTGGGGCGGCGGGAACGCGTCCCCGGAGCAGCGGGCACTGCCCCGGCCCGAGAAGTCGCGTGGACGCGGGCGCCCGGGGCGGAGGACGTGCTTCCCGCGCCGCGCCCTCCGCCTTCCTTTTCCTGGGGCGGGGTTCCTGGACCCGCGGGCGGGGCGGAGAAGCCAGTCCCGGGTCGCCTGTCCCGGGTGCGGCCGCCGCCACCCTGGTGCTTCCCTCCGTGCGGCTGTGTGTCCGTCCGTCTGTCCGCCCGCCCAGCCATGGCTGCGCCGGCGCCCGCGCCGCGGATCCTGTTACTGCTGCTGCTGCTGCCGCCTCCGGGTGGTGAGCCTCGGGGGGTGGGGAGTTTGTCCCCGCAGGGACAAGGCAGCCACATCCGGCCGAGCCCAGGCAGCACCGTCCCTACAGTGCCCCAGCCCGACCCCTCATAACCCGGGGCGGTGAGCAAACCTCAGACTGACTCCCCTCTACCCCAGTAGCTTCCCTGCCTGAGCTGACCTGGCCCAGACCTCAGGTTGCTGCCACCATTGTTCTGTCCCGGAATGGGGGGGGGGGGGTGTCTATTGTCCCTCTGATATTCCAGGGGATTGGGTCACCCGAGGCTGGGGTCGGATTCCCTGCCTGGCCTTAGCCCTGGGTGGTGGCTTCCTGCAGGCCTGGCCCATCAGAGGCCTCTCTTTGCCTCTGTTTACTGGCTAGGGTCTCCCGCCGTTGCCTCCAAGGCCCTGGGCTCCTGGATAGCTGAGCCAGCCTCTGGGACTGGAGGAGACAACTAACTGTATGTGTTAATTGGTTGATTGTACAATTTTTTTTAAAAAAAATTTATTTTAGAGAGAGAAAGGAATGGGGAGAGAGAGAAACACCAATTTGTTGTTCCACTTATTTATGCAGTCACTGATGAATTCTTGTATGTGCCCGACTGGGGATGGAACCCTCAGCCTTGGTGTATTGGGACAACACTCGAACCAACAGACTACTGGGCCAGGACCTTGATTGGTTGATTGTAGACTGAGGAGTCACAGACTGGGGGACCAGGCTGGGGGTCTTCTAGGGTTAGGAATTGGAACAACACCTCCCCACACCCCAGCCATAGGGTAACCAAAGACCCCTCTGGGTGGTTGGTTTCCTCGAGGGGAAGGGCTTTGTTTTCTGGGGGCTGGGAGGAATCTGGAGGACCTGGGGCGGGAAAGGTAGCAGGCAGACCTCTGGTCCCCGGTGAGGTCTGGAGAGCCTTGTCCAGAGTGTGTGAGGGTCAGAGGACACTTGTGTCTTGGGCTCTTGGCCCAAACAGAGTCACAGGTGTTTGTCTTCAGCCCCAGCTTAGAAGCTCTCTAGCTGTGTCTCTAAAGTCTGTCAAGGGTCATCCGAACTACCGAGTAGTTTGGGCCATGCTGAGCAGACCTGCTGTCATGTGGATAGCTGGCTGGGTTGGTGGTCCCATCCTCTGTCCCACAGCTTTGCCCAGAGCAAGGCTCTGCCTAGAGCTGCTAAGGACAAAGTATTTCCCCGTTCCCACCCCATTCATGGTTATCTCTTCTAAAGGTCACTCAGGGGGCCTTGCTCTGCCAGTGGCCCCAGGTTACATGATACACTGACCAGGCTGGGTCTCTGGAGTCTCAGGGCTGTTCAGGGCAGTTTCCAGGTGACATAGCCACACCTCAGGGTTTATCATCAGACCTATTCTCAGTCTACCATAGTCATTTGGGCCTTGCTGGACTAGCTGGTTCCATTTGGGGCCTGTCCAGGCAGAATCCTGGACGGTTCTGTCCTGCTGGTGGGCACTCGCTCTCAGCTAAGGTAGCTTAAGGATGTGTGGGGAAATGGCTATGGCATCTTCCTGGGAGTTTACTAACCTTGTGGTCACTTAAAGCCCTTAAAGCCCTGGGTCATTTTTCACACTTGTCAGCCAAGTGCCCTGATCATGGCCTTGTGTCCTGAGGCTCTGTCCTTATTTCAGTCTGTGGGGACGTCCTTAGATCCCAACTCTGTAGTCGAGAGCCTTGTGATTATTCTGGAGCTTGAAATGGTACCACCGCCTTGGAGCCCAGGCCACCGAGGGCACGGACACTTCCTAGACACCTGCTGCAGGCCCAGCGCAGGGCTTAGTGTCGCATGGACACTTTTGTGGGTGTGCCTGTAGCTGATAGTGAATTGGTCAGGAGATAGCGTGCCATGAGGGTGTCGTCAGGTCTGGGCCCCAGAAATTGTAGAGTCGAACAGAGCTGAGGCTGCTGTGGCTGAGTGGCAGGGAGAGGGAATGAGGATCAAGCCACCTGGCCGGGGGCTCATTTGGTTGGATCATTGTCCTATACATCAAAAGGTTGTGGGTTTGATTCCTGGTCAAGGTTGCAGGTGTGATCCCCAGTTGGGGCATGTACAGGAGGTAACCGATCGATGTTTCCCTCTCTCTTTCTCACTCTCTAAAAATGAATAAAAACATATCTTTGGGTGAGGATTAAAAAAAAAAAAAATTGGCTGGTTCAGTGCCTGGTCCCAGCAACTGGCTGGTGGGGTTACTATTCAGCTGTGTGACTGCTGGGCTTGGCAGCTTCTGGGGGAGGTAGCCTGGAGTCGGGCCTTAACGGATCAGTAGATGTGAAGGCGAGGGATGGGAAACAGGCAAGAATATGGGCAGAGTGTGGACAGGGCTGGAAAATTGGGTTGACCTTCAAGGCCCTTTGCAGTCTGGCCCCTGCGTTGGGGACTGTGGACTTGATCCTGAGGCATTGTGAAACAGGAATGGTCTGAGAGCAGGGGCTAGCCCGTTCAGGCTCAGACTTACAAAGTTCACTCCCCCATCAGGAGGTAAGTGACCAGTGGGGAAAGAGGGAGCCCAGGTAGGCACGACTGCTGGGGCCCAGGGGAAGGCAAGGCTGGTTGGGGTAGTGGCCAGAGGTGGCCCAGCATGCTTGTGCCTGTGACTGTGCTGGGGAAGGTGTGTGTTGGCTGGGACATGCCTGAGGCCTAGCATGAGGCTTAGCCTCATGGCCACAGGTGGAACAAGGGTTTCTCTGCTCCAGCCCATGGTGAGGTGTGTATGGCTTCCAGTGGAGACCGCTTCCCCAAGTCCTGTCCTGTTTTCTGCTGTGGCACCTGTTACAACCAGTACTGCTGCCCTGACATACTGGAGAAAGTTATATGGAACAAGGAAGACTGTGCTGATACTCTGGACAGGTGGGTGCACCAGTGGTCCCGGTGGGTGCCCCATAGGACTGTGCATGGAAGAGAAACATCCCTGCCTCTCTGGCCTCTTAGCCCTTTCAAGATGGTGGCAGAGCACTGGGCTAGGGTTGGGGAGTCTCTGCTCGGGGCTGGACTCCCCAGACCTTGTTTAGTCAGTCTCTTGCCCTCTCTCCCCTACCCTGGAGGGTTCTAGCCTGGGGCTGAGCAGGTTTCTCAGCTGGTCCTATGGCTCACCCTTGAGTGTGTACTTATACCAACATGTCCTCAGGGTGGGCACCTTGGCGTGAGTGTATCCTGCAGTAGGTGCTCACACATGGAGGGGTCCTATGTGATTTGTGCAGGTACCATCTTGTAGGTCCTGGAGGGCACAGTGCATGGGCATGTGCTCCTACAGTGTGCCATGCCTGTGCCCTCCTGACAACTTCCATGGATTTACACTGCACCTTGGGTATAGACTGTTTCATGGACTGGAACCAAGGTTCCAGGACCCTGCGTAGGTCTCCCTTCGCCACAGTCTTTGTGTTTGGCCACAAGTATAGAAGGTTGAGGTGGTCATCCTCAGCTCATGGCAGATGATCATTATTGTCAAGACCAGCCCCTTGCCATCTATTATTTTATTTTAAATTGTTTTTCTTTATTGATTTTAGAGAGAGGGAAAGGGAGAGGGAGAGAGAGATAGAAACATCAATGAGAGAGAACATTGATTGGCTGCCTCCTGCATGCCCCCCACTGGGGATTTGGCCCACAACCTGGGCATGTGTCCTGACTGGGAATCGAACTGGTACCTCTTGGTGCACTGAGCCATACCGGCTGGCTATATTTATTTCATCTCCCATGACTATTCCATTCCCGTCACCCACTAGACAACTAGTCCGCTATATCTTTTTTATTGTTTCTGTTCTTGCAAAGTCTATATTATTTTTGTGGGTACAATGAACCTCCTTCCTTTTTGCACTCAGTACAGCGTTTGTATAACCCCTGCATGTTGTGTGTACATCTGGCTGGTGCCCACCATTGCTGTGTCCTGCTCTATGGTATGAGTCTAAAACCCACTATCACACGTACCTGCAGTGAGCATCCTCATAGGCCTTCCTCCTGCCTTCTGCAGAACCATGCGAGCATTGCCCGGAAGTCCATGTGGAAGCAATTGCCAGGTCAGAGAGATGCACAGTTACTGACTAAGGACTTCCAGAGTGCTCTTGGGAGTGGCAGCACCAGGCTGCCTACTTGCCAGATACCCCCGAACATTCCTGTTGGATCATATTGCACCCTTTACTTCTAAACTTTTGGTATTCTTATACTTTACAAGATCTTTTTAGTTTTTTAATTAATTCTGGTCATTTTTATTTGTATTTCTTTATTTTTTATTTTTTATTTTTGTATCATCCTCACTCGAGGACATTTTTCCATTCTTTGTTCAGGTAGAGTGGGAGGGAGAGAGAGGAACAGAGAGAGAGAGAAACATCGATGTGAAAGGGACACATCGAGTGGTCGCCACCCTCACAACCAACCAGGGCGGGGGACAAGCTGCAACCGAGGTACACGCCCTTAGCGGGAACCGAACCCGGGTCTCTCCGGACCGCAGGCCGACGCTCTAACCGCTGAGCCAAACCGGCCAGGGCTGTATTTCTTTATTTTAAAAATGTTTTTATTAATTTTTTAGAGAGCGAGGAAGGGAGAGAGATAGAAACATCAATGTGAGAGAGCTACATTGATTGGCTACCTCCTGCACGCCCCCTACTGGGGATCTAGCCCTCAATCTGGGCATGTGCCCTGACCGGCCCTCGAACTGACGGCCTCTTGGTGCATGGGTCCAACACTCAACCACTGAGCCACACCAAGTGGGCTAATGGTTTCTTTTTCCTTTTTTAAAAAATTAATTTATTTTCGTTACAGATGTTTCTCCTTTTCCCCCCATTGACATCCTCCTTCCCATCCCCCCTGCCCCATCCCCAGCTTTGTTGTCTATGTCAATGGTCATGCATACATGCATGTAAGTTGTGTGGTTTATCTCTTCCCCCACAAACTCCCCTCCTCCCGAGGCTTGTCAGCCTGTACCCCACCTCCATGTCTCTGGGTTAATTTCGTTCAGCAGTTTGTTTAGTTCATTATATTCCACAAATAAGTGAGATCATGTGATATTTGTCTTTCTCTACTTGGCTTGTTTCACTTAGCATAATACTCTCCAGGTCCTTCCATGCCATCTCAAAGGATAAGAGATCTTTCTTTCTTACAGCTGCATAGTACTCCATTGTGTATATGTACCACAGCTTTTTTATCCACTCATCTACTGATGGACACTTGGGTTGTTTCCAGATCTTAGCTATTGTAAATAGTACTGCTATGAACATAGGGGTACATATGTTCTTTCTGATTGGTGTTTCAGGTTTCTTAGGGTATATTCCTAAGAATATAGAAGTGGGATCACTGGGTCAAATGGCAGTTCAGTTTTTAATTTTTTGAGGTAACACCATAGTGTTTTCCATTGTGGCTGCACCAGTCTGCATTCCCACCAGCAGTGTACTAGAGTCCCCTTTTCTCCACACCCTCACCAGCACTTGTTTGATGATTTGTTGATGGCGGCCATTCTGACAGGTGTGAGGTGATACTTCATTGTTGTTTTAATTTGTATCTCTCTGATGATTAGTGATGTTGAGCATTTCTTCATATGTCTCTTGGCCATTTGTATGTCCTGTTTGGAGAGGTGTCTATTTTGGTTTTCTTAAATTTTCTCTTAATTATGTGCTGTGGTTTTGTTTTTTCTTTTTAATGTTTTTTTTTTTTCTTTATTGATTTTAGAGAGAGAGGAAGGGAGAGAGAGAAACATTGATGTAAGAGACACATCGAGTGGTCGCCTTCCAGTCAGGGCACGTACCCAGGTTGTGGGTTCAGTCCCCGGTCAGGGTGGCAACCGTTTGATGTCTCTCACTCCTTTCCTCTCTCTAAAATCAATAATAATAATAATAATAAAAGCATAGTTCTAATGCTTTTAAATTTTATTTTGTTTTACATTTAATTTTGGAAGATTTTAAATAAAGACAAAAGCAGAGAGAATAATATAATAACTCTGTGTAGCCGTCGCCCACTTCCATGGTGACCAGCACTCTGACACCACGGTTCACCTATCTCCCACCACTTTTGTTTCTTTCTTTATTGATTTCAGAGAGAGAGGAAGTGAGAGGGAGAGATAGAAACATCGATGAGATAAAACATCGATTGGCCGCCTCCTGCATGTCCCCCACTGGGGATTTGGCCCACAACCTGGGCATGTGCCCTGACTGGGATCGGAACCCAAGACCTCCTGCTGCAGGGTCGACGCTCAGCCACTGAGCCACACCGGCCAGGCTCCCACCACTTTTTTTTATTTCCAGGATTATTTAGAAACAAATTCTAGACATCATAAGTATTTCTCCTTAAATGTTCACTTTTATCGGTACAAATGAGTCCTTTAAAAAGAAATGTAACCACTATATCAATAACACATTTGGCACAATTAACAGTAATTTATCAATAGCTTTCAATACTAGTCTGTTTTATTGGACTCCACTTGTTTAAAAAAATGTCTTTTCACCGGTAGTTTGTTCGAGTCAAAATCCAAATAAGGTTATTATTTTTTAAATCTCTGTTGTACCTAGAGTTAGTTCTCCTTTTTTAATTCTGCGTTTTTTTCTTTTGTATCATTTCTCCTTTTCATGTGCCAGAGGTTTACTGGCTTTGGTGTTGTTAATCTTCTCTTATTTTTTGTGGTCATTGTTCTCTTTCAGTTTTGCACTTCTCTTTATTAAGTTCTTTCTTACTTGGGAGTTTTCACTATTTTCCCCATCTTCTTGAGTTTAATACCATGTCACTATCAAAGTTATGTTTCCTCGAAGAACTACTGTAGCTGTTTCACAAATTTTGACCTGTACTATCTTCATTATCATTCAGTTTTACATATTTCTTAATTTTCTTTCTGATTTATTATTTAACCCACAGGGTTTTTTAAATTTTAATTTTTTTATACCATATTAATTAGTTTCCCAAGGTATGAGTTATTTTTAGCATTTTTTTTTCTTTTTTCAATACTGTGGCATTGTCGCCTTCTGTTACTGATTTCTACCTATTGTGATCTGAGAAGATACTTTATATGACAGCTGTCTTTTTTTTTTTAATCCTCACCCAAGGTCATTTTTGCGTTTATCTTCAGATAGAGCTAGTGGGAGAGAGGGAGGAAGAGAGAGAGAGAAACATTGATGTGTGAGAGACACATCGAGTGTCTGCCACCCACACAACCCCAACTGGGTCTGGGGACAAACTGCAACCGAGGTACGTGCCCTTAGCGGGAACCGAACCCGGTCTCTTCGGTCCACTAGTTGACGCTCTAACTGCTGAGCCAAAGTAGCCAGGGCGACAGCTGTTTTTTTTTTAAATATGTTTTTATTGATTTTTTTTTTTAGAGAAAGAGGAAGAGAGAGATAGAAACATCGATATGAGAGAGAAACATTTATCAGCTGCCTCGGGCACGTCCCCTACTGGGGATTGAGCCCTCAACCCGGGCATTTGCCTTGATGGGGAATCGAACGGGGACCTCTGAGTCCATGGGACAATGCTCAATCCACTGAGCCGAGCCACACCCACTGGGCATGACAGCTGTCTTTTCAAATCTGTTGAGACATGTTTTGTGGCCTCACATGTGGTCTGTCCTGGAGAACGTACCGTGTGCACTTGAGAAGAATGTGCGGCAGCCCTGGCTGGTTTGGCTCAGCGGTTGGAGCGTCGGCCTGTGGTACAGAGAGACCCGGGTTCGGTTCCTGCTAAGGATGCAGTTTGTCCCCGGCCCTGGTTGGTCGTGCGGGTGCAGCCACTCGATGTGTCCCTTCACATCGATGTTTCTCTCTGTCTCTCTACCTCTCTCTCCCTCCCACTCTATCTGAACAAAAAATGGAAAAAATGTCCTCGGGTGAGGATTAAAATAAATAAATAAATAAATAAAAGAATGTGTGGCATTGTAGCCTGAGACCCTAGCAGTGTGTGTGCTATCCATCTTTGGGATGCCTTGGCCCAGTATTGAGTTGGATCTTGTGCAAGTTCTGTGTGTGCTAATGTGGTATGTTTGTTCTTGGCGTGCTGATGGATGGGGCTTGTTGTGTTAATCATGAGGTTTCTCTTTGCAGCTTTGCCAGTGTCAGGGAGAATATGGAGGAACTGGACAAGCTGACCTCTGACCTGGACAATGACCCCATGCCAGGGTAAATAAAACCAGCAGGCTGGGTGCATCTTCCTCCATCTTCCAGCAGAGGTGACAAAGGGGCTCAGGTGGGCTAGGATGAGGGCTGTGGGGACCAGGATGAGAAGAGTCATTAGGGTGGGGCTCCATGAAAGCTGTCACCTAGGAGCTGTCACCATGTCTGACCACCAGGACCCTTATGTTGGGAAGTTGTATGCCTCTCATTGTGCTGGGGTGCTGGGGATGGAAGTGACTGTGGTTGGGGGTTGACATTTGGAAGACCAAGGGTGGGGGTTCATATTGACCTAAGTGAGGGGACAGGCACAGGTGACTGCTGGGTGTAGGTGAGCAGAGGGAGACAGAGATGGGTGATGGGTGATAGTAGATGGTAGTGAATGCGTGGTGATGGGACAGTAGTGCATGTTGATGTGGAGGCTGACAGTGATAGGGCAGTGGGTGCACGTATATGATGGGGTGACAGACGGTGTATGGTGATAGGAAGCAGTTGTGGTGAGATGGTGGCGATGGGGTGATGGTGGCAGGGAGATATGATGGGGATATGCTGGTGCTGGGTATATTGTGGTGGCAGTGGTGACAGTGATGGGGTGATGGTAGTGGCAGGTGCATGGAGATGGGGTGACAGAGGTAAGGATGCTGAGACAACCAATGAAACCAAGGTTTGTGGGTCATGGCTACTATGTTAGGGGGCCAGGGAACAGCCTAATCTCCTAAACTTTCTAAGTAGAACCCCAGTGGCCCCCACAGCACCGCCTTATGAAAGTTTAGGGTTCACCCAGCTGGTGTGGCTCAGTGGTTGAGCATCATCCCATGCACTAAGAGGTCACCAGTTCAATTCCTGATCAGGGCACATGCCTGGGTTGCAGTGATCGATGTCTCTATCTCTATCTCCCTTCTTCTCTCTCTAAAAAAAAAAATCTATAAAAACACGTTTAAAAAAAAGTTTAGGGCTCAAGGAGCAGGTGCTGGGAGGGTAGAGGGACAGAGTTGTCAATGACACTTTGTGAATGCTCTTGGGCGGGCATCTGAGGGCTGCCCCCATGGCCAAGGGCACTGTTGTTTGTCCACCAGAATGTTGGCTCCTCGGTGGGAGCAGTCCCTGCTGTCCAGCCGTGTCTGGGAGCTCCGAGCAAACCCTCACAGGGGAAAGACCACATGGTGCCAGGGACCTGCCTCAGCTCTGCCCGCCTCCCCACCACCAACACCCTCCTCCTCTTCATTCTTGGATTTTCACCCTCGGCTCTCCCTCTGGCGATTCCTTGGGGTCCCCAAGAATGAGGCACCTGGTCAGAGCACAGGGATCCAGATGAGCCTACCTCTGCCTGGCACAGCCAGTATGGGTGGTGTTCTCCCTCGAAGTGGGCACTACTTCCCATAGTGTGGCCATGTTGGGCTCAGGGTTGGCCCACTCCCCCACCACCAGCTTTGGAGGTGAGTCCCATCCTGCTCTGTCCAGCAGTCTGGTTGTGTTCACTCTTGGCTTGTTCCTTCTCCAGAGCTTCCTTGGTCCCTTTCACGGTTCTTTTGGGTCCTAATTTTATTGTCCTTTTCTAGCTCCTTGCCACTCATGGGATGGTCTCGCAGGACTGGTGTGTTTTTAGGCACCTGAATGGTAGAACCTCTGGCTACAGGCCCCAGGCAGGCTTTGCTGACCCTCTTCTCCGACTCCCCTGTGAGTGCAGGGGAGAGGCAAGGAGGTCCAGGGGGTGGTGCAGGTGCTGTGAGCCTGTACTGACTCCGCCCTCACAGCGTCCTTCCTGAGGCTGTCACATGCTCTGTGTCATGCTCATCTGCCACCTGATGAGATGCTATCAGCATCATGATGAGAGCTGGTGTCCCAGCTCCAGAGGTAGCCCTTTCTGATCTAAATATGGGGAGTCTTTGGCCTCCTGGGGCTGCCCAATTCTGCCTCCTGAACTTGGCCTTTGGTCTCCTTGATCTGGGACGTAGCCCTAGCCTGGGGAAGCTCCATTTCTCTCAGAAGCAGGGTTCCATGAGTACTGTGCCCTGTTGTGGCCATGGGTCCCTGCCACAGTCATCACCCTCAAATATTGCGCTTCCGTCAAGCATCATGCCTGGCAGTCTTAGGTGCTGCCCGCGGGGTCCCTGAGTGAATGTATTCATTCGTCAGAGACTTACTGAGCCCCTACTGTGTGGAGATACAGTGATGGCCCAAAGCAGGCAGTCTGTGCCTCCGTGAATCCGCAGGCTGGAGTCAAGATGCATGTTACTCAAATGCTCACACAAAGGAGTGAGTGTTCTCAGACAGGTGGACAGGGACTTAATTCCATCCGAGCATTTACCAAGGAGCCTGACCTCATCTGCATTGTTATCTGCACCTGAGGAAGTGATGTTTTGAGCTGAGAGCTAAAGGTTAAACAGGAATTAATGATGTGGGGGTGAGAGGAAGGGATGGGCGGGCCAGGCAGGAGGAACTGCATGTGCAAAGGCCCTGAGGTGTGGGACACGCATGGTGCTTTCTAATGGTGGAACAGAGGTTGGAGGGTGATGTGGCTGGAGTACAGAGGAGGAAGGATGGGAATCCTAGACCACACAGGCGTTTTATTTAATTTAGACTTTAAAGCTTAAAATTTGCCTTGTTGTAAGTTTAACTATCTAGTGAGATAAGTCCTAGATTTTTGCCAACTATAATATATAAGATATATTGCCAACTATAATATATAAGATACGCACACGTGCGCACACACACAATGTAACAAGCGTATTATAAAGCGAATTTCTAAGTGACCCTAAGAACCCCAGGAACCACATTAGGCTTTTGAGCAGGAAGTGACGTGGTCAGACCTGGCAGGGTGGCAGAGGGGACCCCAGTGACCTGCTGGTGGGACAAGGTAGCTGAAGGTGCCCATCGAGGAGGGCAGTTGGAACAGGCTGAGCAGGGGCGAGCAGGAGTGTGGTTCTGGACACTGAGGTGGGGTCTCTCACCCTGGGGTGACACTACGCGAGACAGCAGGGTGGAGGGCCGCCGTAGGCCAGCCGGGGCAGGCCAGGCTGGGGAGGCCGAACTGGGAAGACAGCCTGAGCACCTGCCTCCTCCCTGCTCCTGGCCCTGTGCTGCGCAAGCAGCTGGGAGCAGCCCCAGTGCCTGGGCTCCGTGCTTGGGCTTCGCTGTGTCTTTTTAAAAATATCCTGGGAGTTTATTTCTAACACATAAGAATTCACAATAGACTCAAAATAAATTTAGTATCATTTTAAAATTACAGTTAAGCAACTTTTATTATTATTATTTCATTGATATATTTTTTTATCCTCACCAGAGGACTTTTTTTCCATTTTTGTTCAGATAGAATGAGGTGGTGGTGGGGTGTTGGGAGAGAGAGAGAGAGAGAAACATGGATGTGAAAGGGACACATTGAGTGGCTGCCTCCACACGACCCAACCAGGGCCGGGACGAACTGCAACCGAGGTCCGTGCCCTTAACCAGAATCGAACTCGTGACTCTGGTCCTCGGGCTGACGCTCTAACCGCTGAGCCAAACCGGCCAGGGCAGTTAAACAACTTTTAGCTCATTAATTTTACACCAATATCATATGTAAAGAAGTCTAATACTGGTACAGTTTTCTAATGTTCATTCATAAATTACAGAAACTTTTTTTGTTAATAATACCTTGTAACCAGGATTACCACTAATATATCCTTTCCATGTCTTCCTGGTTCCCCAGCACGTCTGGAGAGGCCAAGAAAACTAGCATTCCCCTTGTATTCTCTCATTTAAAAAAAAATGTTTTTATTGATTTTTTTAGAGAGAGGAACGGAGAGAGAGATAAAAACACTGATGTGAGCCTGGCCAGTGTGGCTCAGTGGTTGAGCATCAACCCATGCACCAAGAGGTTGCCAGTTCGATTCCCGGTCAGGACACATGCCCATGTTGTGGGCCTGATCCCCAGTGGGGGGGCTTACAGGAGGTGGCCAGTTGATGTTCTTTCTCTCCCTCTTCCTTCTTCTCTCTCAAAGAATCAATAACGAAAAAATTTTTTTTAAAAAAGAGAAAGAACCCTGGCTGGTTTGGCTCAGCGGTTAGAGCGTTGGCCTGCGGTCCAGAGAGACCTGGGTTCGGTTCCCTCTAAGGGCACGTACCTCGGATACAATTTGTCCCTGGCCCTGGTTGGGTCGTGCGGGTGGCGACTACTCACTGTGTGCCTTTCACATTGATGTCTCTCTCTCTCTCTCTTCCTCGCTCTCTCTCCCACTCTGTCTGAACAAAAAAAGGAAAAAATGTCCTCGGGTGAGGATAAAAAAAAAGAAAGAAAGAAAGAAACATTGATATGAAAGAGATACATCGATCAATTGATCAGCTGCCTCCTGCACAACCCCCAGTGGGGATTGAGCCCGCAACTCAGGCATGTGCCCTGACCGGGAATCAAACCGGGAGCGCTCAGTTCTTGGGACAACGCTCAGTCCACTGGCCACATTGGCCAGGCTGTATTCTATTTGCCATAAAATCCAGGTGATCCCTTATCTCCTTTGGGGCCCATTTCATCCTTTGATCCTGGCATTCCATGAAGTCCAGGAAAACCGGGAAGCTCACAGTCACTCATATTTTATTTTATTTAAAAAAATATTTTTAATTGATTTTTTAAGAGAGAGAGATGGAAACAAGGATTGGCTGCCTCCTGCGCGCCCCCTACTGGGGATCGAGCCCACAAACCGGGCACCTGCCCTGACTGGGAATTGAACTGGGACCTCTCAGTCCATGGGATGAAGCTCCATCCACTGAGCCACACCAGCCGGGCGTCACCCATATTTTAAATATATCTGGCCCTGGCCAGTTTGGCTCAGCGGGTTAGAGCGTCGGCCTGTGGTCCAGAGAGATCCGGGTTCGGTTCCCGCTAAGGGCATGTACCTTGGTTGCCGTTTGTCCTCAGCCCTGGATGGGTTGTGCGGGTGGCAGCCACTCGATGTGTCCCTTTCACGTCGATGTTTCTCTCTCTCTCTCTTCTCTCTCTCCCTCCCACTCTATCTGAACAAAAAATGGAAAAATGTCCTCGGGTGAGGATAAAAAAAAAAAATTAAATATATCTGTATTATGTTTGGGTCCTTTGAGCTATAAGTCTACCTGGTATAAAAGGTATTCGACATAGGTTATATCCAAAAATCTGTGGATGAAAAATAAGTGTTTCTGTGGAAAGATCGGATCACCTCACAGGGTGATCTGGTCATAAACTTCTAACTGGGCAGATTATGGTGGGCAGTCACACCACAGGCATACATCTTTACTAAAAGGCTTATCTTTACCGTAAGCAAGCCCTGTCCATTGTTTCTGTGCATCTAGTCAACACCTGTGCTGTGTCTTTAAGAGTGTCCTGTGTCTGTTCTTCCTGCCACTGACGTCAGGAGAGGGGAGGGCGGAGGAGATTTGCTTTCTTTTTCTCTGAAAGGGGAGGAGATTGAAACTGGCCCACGATGGGCAGTCAGGGTAGTCGGGGTTAGGAGAACCCTGAGAGAAGGTGGAGGCTAACATGGGGTGAGCTTGGGCTTGGGCACCATACTGTGTGTGTGTTTTTGTGTGCATGTGTGTTTGTGTGTGTGTGTGTGTGTGCACGCATGTGCACGCGGGTGAGAGAGACAGACTGAGGAAGAGACAAAATGTGCACTCTTGTATCACTGATTGTCTGAGAGTGTGTTTCCCCTTTCCCTGGGTCAGCAGAGGGTCTGGGAGGTTGGGAGGGGCTTGTAGGTGAGGGAGGGGCTTGTAGGTGAGGGAGGGGCAGATGAGGGCTCCTCTGATGGACAAGAAGGCCGCTTCGGACATCCTGTCTTGCAAATGCAGTTGGCGTGTTTTTGAGTCTGCAGCGAAGGGTCTGTCCTTCGTCTGTCCCTAGGCTCTGGTGCAGGGCCCCACTGCCAAGGTGCCTTTCTTGGCTGTGGAAGCCACTTCACCAGGGCAGGGTGGGGACACAGCCCTACCCCCAGCTTCTGGCAGGAAGGTGCCCTATAGCGTACCAGGCTCCTCCCGGGTTCGGCTGTGCTTGGAGCACTTTCCAAGCAGCTACCATTGATTAGAGTCGAGTTTGCCTTCTTCTCAAAGAGCAGTCTCTCCACTGTTGTGATCCCGGCTAAGAGGCCTGGGTCGGGCAGAGAGGTCTCCTCTTCCAGAAGGCAGGCCACCTCCAGCCCCTCCATGTCATTTGTCTGGCTCTTAGTTTTTCCACCGGTGAAGCCCAGCGGTGCATGTGAACACCCGGCATGGTGCTGGTACCCAGCGGGCTCAGGTCATGCTGGGCATGGCCCTGTCCCGGACTGGGAGCTGGCCAGTGCAGAGGCTGGGGTCACTGCATTCCTCTGGACACATTGGCCTCTGCTCTCCTGGAACGTCTCCCGGTCTTCGTCCCTGTGCTTCCTGAGTCAAATCACCTCCAACATCTGCCTCCTACAGTGCTGCCTGTGGGTTCCCAGAAGCCATGAGTTGGTCTGTCTCGCCCAACACTGAGCTTTTGGCAGACCACAGTGCCTTGCTTGTGGCACATGCTCCACGACCATTTGCTGCTTGGTGGCCGGGTGGACAAGATGTGCGCATGGTGGGGAGGCTCTGAAGGTCCCTCCCATGCTCTTGAGGATGGGACAAGGGGGACAGGCCCTAGGTGAGGTGCTTTATTAGACTCACAACCCCATTTTACCCATGAGGAAACAGGTTGAAACAGGTTCTAGCCAACACCCAGGAAGTTGCTCTGTCTGTGTAGCCAGAGTGTCCTCCTTCAAGTGTGGTGCCCCTGGGGATGGCTGGCTTGTGGACTGCTGGTCCTGGCTAGGGGCAAGAGGCCCTGGGTCATGACCGGCTCTTTGACAGGTTCGGGGCAACTATAGCCATTGGCCTGACCATCTTTGTGCTCTTCGTTGTCACCATTATCGTCTGCTTCACCTGTTCCTGCTGCTGTTTGTACAAGATGTGTTGCCAACCTCGCCGTAAGCATGCCCACCCCACACACTGTGCAGACCCCACAGTGACCAGGGAGCTGCCCAGGGCCCTGATTTGGCTAAGCTGGAGGGAGGGGCGGCAAGCCTGAGGGTCCTGATTGGGAGTCTCTTTACAGCGGTTGTGACCACCACCACGGCCACCACCGTGGTGCACGCTCCTTACCCTCAGCCTCCAAGTGTGCCACCCAGCTACCCTGGACCGTCGTACCAGGGCTACCAACCCATCCCCCCCCAGCCAGGGATGGTGGCAGCATCCTACCCGACGCAGTACCCACCACCCTACCCGGCCCCACCCATGGGCCCACCTGCCTACCATGAGACATTGGCTGGTGAGTACTGCTGCCAACTTAGACCCTGCCTGACTTCAAAGCTCTCACGGTGCCCACAGCCAACCACTGTCCTTTCTATTTTCAGGAGGTGCAGCCGTACCCCAACCTCCTTACAACCCGGCCTACATGGACCCCCCGAAGGCCGCCCACTGAGCACACCCCGCATCTCTGGTTGCCACTTGATACGTCATGTCTGTGTATCTATGTAGGCATAGCCTTTTCTCCTGTGCAGGGTGTGTGTGTCTTGTTTGTATACTTGTGATGTTGACAGGTGGGGAACAATCCTCACCAGAGTTGCTGGGACCATACTTTGTTCTCTTCCTCATTTCAAATTATGCTTCCTTGAAATTTCAAGCAAAATTCAAAGAATAGGGTGGGAGTTCACTGCCAGACCACTCCCAGGGAGACCAGGTGGGGTTTGTTACTCTAGGGTAGCACAGCTTTTTGTGGGCAAAATGCACCCATGCTCTGGTTTCAGCAGAATGGCTGCTGCTTGAGGCTGTGGCCTGTCCCCAGGGTGTGCTTCCCCTCAAAGACCCAGAGCTGTGATACAGGAAGTGGGTGAGGCTTGGGACCTGGCTAAGCTGGGTTTTGATCCCCCAGTTTCCCAGAGCCTGTGTCATGCCAGGTGGAAGGTGGGCAGCCTTCTAACAAACCGCCTGTCAGCGCCCCCCACCCCTGCTTGACAGCTGTCTGTCTAGACTGTTTCCGCAGCCTCTCTGGGACCACCTGGAGGGCCACGTCCACCCATGGTCCTGGCTGCCCCGGCTGCCCCTGGCCCGACACAGGAGGGCAGGGTGGCCTCTGTCCAGATACACTCAGGTGTCCTCCCTGCAGTGTTTTTGTTTTACTTTAGCCAAACTTTTTTGCTGTTTTCTGTTTTAAAATGTGTGTGGTAGTTGCTCTGAGGCTGAAACCCCTGGGTCCTGGAGGGGGTGGCTCACAGAGGGACCATCTGACCTGACAGGTCCTGCTTCCCTCACACCAGCCTCACAGAGTATCCAGCTCCTGTACCTAGTCCAGTTTGTCCTGGCGCAGGGACACTTGGGCCAACCGGCCTCTGGACCAAAGGTGGAAGGGTGCCCCGGGTGGCTGCGGCCCAGACACGAATACCTCGGTGTGCCCCGGCCCTCTGTTACCGTCTCACCTGATCTGTCTCAGCTTTGTACCTGTTGATAAGTCTGAGTTTGGGGTCTGCACCTTTGTTTATAATAAATACAGACATTTGGAGCTGCTGTCCCCTTTCTTTAAAAAAAAAAAAAAAAGATTTTGAGAGAGGAAGGAAGGGAGGGAGGGAGAGGGGAGACATCGATGTAAGAGAAGCACTGATCGGCCTCCGCACGCCTCCTGCGGGGATCAAACCACAACCTGGGCATGTATCCTGACCAGGAACTGAACTGGCACCTTTCGGTGCACGGGACGATGCCCAACCAACCGAGCTACCCCAGCCGTGGCGCTGTCCCCTCTCTTCAGAGCCACGGCGACAGGCACTGGGCAACAGGCCAGGCATCATTCCATCCAAAACCTGGATTTTCATATTTTCCTTACTTGTAGTGGGCTCAGACCTCCGAGCGTCCTGCTAGGGAGGGTGAGGGACAAAGGGACAGACTGTACTGCCCTCTGCCCCTTCCCCAGGTGCCTGAGTGCGGGAAGGGAGAGGCCAGAGTACTCAGTGCTGTGAGGGTCTTTATTAGGCAGACTTCCTTCTCGGCCTATTGCCCAGGTGTGGCCAGGGACAACCCATACAGTGTGGCTATTGCCACGGTCAGCAAGGCCAGCAGACTCAGTGGGGCCAGAAGTCCCTCCCTGGGTGAAGATCCAGGGTCCTTCATTGGAGGAAGGAACTTGGGTTTCCTGCTCCTCCCAAGGTTGGGGCTGGTGTCCCTGGTGCTGGCCAGGAGTGTGGTGGCAGATGAGCTTGAGCTGGTTCTAGTAGAGGCTGTGACCCTGTACATCGGCTTGACGGTGCTGAAGGGTCTGGCGTGAGCATCCACCCACTGCAGCAGGGCCCTCGGCCGCCACTGGCAGATGCTGAGCAGGGCGAGGACGTCCCCCTCAGCCGTGTGCGAGTCCGGTGGGGCCTGCCCGTACAGGCGTGTGTAGATGCTGCCCAGGCTGTAGCTCTTCCATGGACCTTGCTCTGGGGGTCTGCCATCTTGCTCCAGGGCCTTCAGGGCAGCAATGCTATCCACACAGAAGCCACTATCCAGAGCACTGTCAAGACCCAGCACAGCTATCTCTGCCTGGAGCAGGGGGAAGTCGTAGCGGTCACCGTTGTGGGCCACGAGGCACCAGGGCTGCGGCTGGCGCTGCAGGAAGGCCCGGAGCAGGCCGACTAGGTCGGCATCGAAGCACTGGCGCCCGTGCGCTGCCAGCACAGCCGTGCTCAGGCCAGTGATCTCGCTGGCTGCGGGGCTGCAGGCCTTCCCCGGAGCCACACACAGGGAGAGCTTGTCCACTACACGGGGCGGCAAGGGCACTGCGCGACACCGCCCCTGAGGTGTGGGAAGGCTCTCCAGGGCGCATCTGTGGATGGCCAGCAGGCACAGCTCTGTGATCTTGGGCTGGGAGAAGGGCAGTCCAGTGGCCTCCAGGTCCAAGAAGATAAGGGTCTGCATGGGCCCTGGGGGCAGGGCCTGCGGGTGCATGGTGGGTGCCTGCACTGAGCCTGGGAGGAGCACGACGGGAGCGGGTGAGCGCCCGTGATGAGATGAGAGCAGGGTTGGGGAGCGGGGAGCGTGGGCAGGAGCACCTCTCTGGCCCTCCCTCCCTGCACAGGTAGGCACTTTCGGTGATCTCTAGGACCCATTTTCAGGGCAGGAAGCCAGAGAGGGTGGGTGGCTTCCTTTGTGGGATCAGCACACACAACTGGGGGAGGTTTGGCTCCTTCCACAGTGCCCACTTAGTCTGGGGTTGGCGGGTGGAACCCTTGGCCTTCCCACCCTGCCCAGCCCCTTGGGGGTCTTCACTTACCAAGTAGCAGGCAGGCAGCAATGACTGGCCGGCTGATTCCCGCTGCTGGCCCCAGAGGCGAGAAGTGAAACTTAGCCTGCGCCCGCCTACAGCTGGTGTGAGCTAGGCCCGCCCTGCTAGTCAGCCTGCCTGGTTCCTCTCGCAACACCCAGTGCCTTCCCAGACCCTCCCCTCGTGACTCCCAAAAGCCTCACCTCTAGAGCTGCGGCCTGCTGGCTGGCACAGTGCACCAGGGCCCCCCAGTGAGAGAGCAAGCCAGGAGGACAAGGGCAGTGGTGCTCAGGCTATTGAGAAAGACCAGCTGCAGGACTCAAGCTTGCCAGGAGCCCCTGCTGTGGCCATTTTGCGCCCACCCTTTCGCCCCGCTTTCCCAGGCCTCCTGGTGTCGGTCCGAGCTGAGGGCTGCCTCCTTCCTTGCTGTACAATGGTTTCTTCCCTTGGCCTCAGCCCAAAGCGATGACTCAGGACAATTCCAGGAGCAGGGCAGGGCTCCTTCCTCCAGGCAGATTCGTTACCATAGGGACCGGTCTCAGCTCCAGCCAGGGGCGGGAAGGAGGATCCCAGCTTCCCTGGGTCATGTTCCCGCTCCATCCCTCCCACTGGGCCAACACAGATCAGACTCAGGCAACAAAGCTGGTGTGTTCGAAAACAGCCAGTCACAGCTTTTAATCAGTCTCTGCGGTGAGGGAAACACGTGCTTACAGACCTCAGCCACAGTCCATGTCGGGGTCATCCACATCGGTCTCGGTGGCACAGAGGTCATCCAGAGCAGCTTCTGAGCCAAAACAGAAGAGGATTCTCTGGTGAAGACTGGAAATGCTGGGAACCGAGGAAAGCTGGCCCCCAACACACCGAACCAGTCCCTTCCACGCCCAGGCCTCGCTCCCTCACTGCTGCAAGCAGTGACACAGGCAATCCTGACAGGGCTGTTTCTGGAAAATCTGCGGCTCTGCCAGGCTGACTCAGCAGATAGCAAAAGGCAGCCTGCTATGCTCAGAGAAAGTGCAGGAGGATAAGGACCCCAGTGCTGACAAAGGCCGTGGTGGATGGAGGACTGCAGGCCTGGAAGTCTGTCTGACTTGTTCTCCCACTTCAGGGAAAACCCACAGGTGGGGTGGGGCAGGGTGGGGTCCCCCTGCCAGCTCACCTTCACAGTCCGTCACATCCGGAAGACCTCGAATCAGCATGCTGACCCCTGGCATCACCTGGTCATACTGGTGCAGGACCTCCACACAGTGCACCGTGAAGAGCTTGTCCTTCTGGGACAGGCCGTGCAGCAGCAGCACCGTGTCCCGCAGACACCGCACTGTTCGCTTCTGCTGCTCAGTCCTTGGGGCCCCCCCTGCCCTCCGCAGTGTCAGCCACTGTCTGTGCAGCATCACAGTGAGCACTCGGACCACCTGGGGGTGCAGACTGAGGTCAAGTCTCATGGTTCCTGTACCCTAACAACTTGATCAGCTGGGCAGCACCTTTCCTAGCCACCCAAAGTGAGGAGGGTTGAGTGGCGGCAAGAGGGTCAGAAGCAGCACAGGGTCCCTGCGCAGGACCACCTCGCCCACCAACAGACCTGCACACTGTCGCCCCCTGCCTGCCCCTGGGCACTCACCTCCATGTTGCACTGGCAGTTGGAGCCAGTAACTGGGGATGAGGGGCTCTGCACGCCAAGCTTAGCCAGGAGCCACACAGCCTAGAACAAGAGCAGACTGTTCCAGAAGGAGACCCTGACCACAGTGAGGCCTTTCTCAGGCTTCTACAAGAGCTCCAACTGTTTGTCTGCAAGAACGGGGTCCAAGAGGTGGTGGTGTGGGGCCTTCTCAGGCCAGACTCAGGACCAACAGCTGTGCCTCACCAACAACCCACGTGCCTCCAGCCACCAGGCCCCATAGCCAAGAAGGTTCAGTTATCAGGCAACTCTGCCAAGTCCCATGGTAAACATTCAACAGAGGGGCTCTGGCATTTTTACCTCTTGTTCTAGTCGAAGCCACTGTGTGTCCGAGGCTACTTGGTCAGGCCTTGACGTGATGTACATGTAGAGCAGCAGCAGGAGGCAACCTTCTGGAAAGAACATGCCTCCTCTCACTTGGGTCCCCCTGTACAGGCTGCAGAAGCCCTCAGGAGCCCGGCCTGTCCCTGCCACCGCGCTTCCCTCCACCCTGCAGGAGTCCAGACACCCGCCCTGCCCAGCTGTACCCGAGTGGGAGCAGAGCTGAGGTGCCAGCTTCTCATGGTCCACCAGGAGGGATAGGAGCTCAACAGTCAGCAGCACACTGGGCAGGGGCATCTCTGGGCAGAGGCACTGTGGCAGCACCGGGAACATACACTGGAACCTAAAACACAGGGGCCCAGAGGAACGAGACACTTCCCCCCAATCCCATAGTTCACCCTCTTTCACTAGAGGGAATAGGAAATGCAAGCAGGCCAGTCCAGAGAGGAGACGTGGTTCAGACAGGCCTGCGTTCAAATGCCAGCTGACGACCACCTCCTCTTACATGAATGAGTGGACACTACCCTTCACTGCTGGTCTGCTGTGGCTTAGATGACAGGCCCTTACTTGGCCTCCATGGACCTCTGCTCCCAAATAGGGAAGCAGGTCTCAACTTGGGTGAGGGAAACGTATGTCCACCACCAAAGGACTAGCCAGGCTGCAGAAGTGATGGATGTGGACTTGCTATGGTTGGATCTTCCAAGACCACTCACTGAGCAAGTTTTTTCCTCGTCAGAAGACACCAGCTCCTCCGCTGGCAAATCTATGCGCTGGGGGAGCGCACGGGCGAGGGGCTCTGGGCACACTCTTCCCCAGGGGCCAGGCCAAAGGGACCACTATTACCAAGGCACCAAGACGACCACTGCTGATTATCCAACCTCGTGGGGGAGGCAATTCTGCATGTGTCCCCCTCCACGCACCCAGAGTGCCAGCACACAGCACTGAGGGTTAAGACTATTCCTCAGTACACACTGGGAAGCAAGGTCTCACTATTTGGGGCAAATTTGCTTTAGAACAAATCCTGTATGGCAGAGAAGCCGAATGTTTTCCGTTGCCAAGGAGTGCAGAATTTTGAGGGAAACTGGAATCTAACCTGGTTGTTAGAAGTGGACCCTAACTAGTCCACTAAAGCCCCTGAAACTATCTGCATGAATTAATCCATCTTCATCTCCAACACAGTGGTTTCCAAATTGGGCTTCTGATAGCACCAGCCTTCTTTCTTTCTTTCTTTTTTTTTTTTATCCTCACCCGAGGATATTTTTTTCCATTTTTTGTACAGATGGAGTGGGAGGGAGAGAGAGGAAGGGAGAGAGAGAGAGAAACATCGACGTGAAGGGACACATCGAGTGGCTGCCACCCGCACGACCAACCAGGGCTGGGGACAAACTGCAACCGAAGTACGTGCCCTTAGCGGGAACCGAACCCGGGTCTCTCCGGACCGCAGGCCGACGCTCTAACCGCTGAGCCAAACTGGCCAGGGCGCCAGCCTTCTTTCTAAATGAATTTTTGCAGCACCCCCGATGCACAATAAGTCACACTGCTTTGGTTGGAGTCGAGGATGGCAACTATTTGCTGTCTAGCCCCAGCCATCCTAGTACCGGGAACAACCCTGGACTTACTGCTACAGGGTCTGAGGGTGATTTGCCCTTGAGCCCAGGTGGGCAAGAATGCCCTCGGAGGCCACAGCTTGTCAGCATCACATACTGCTTTAGAGCCTCGGTAGCACCCACCAAGATCAAGTGGAAGCTGGATGGTAGTGGGGTTCAGCTCGCGGCAGGAAGGAATTCAGAGAAGCATGGAGTGGGAGGTGGTGTCGGTGATCAAGAGCAAAGGCTCAGGAGACTAGCTGGTTTGGAACCCCCCAGTATGCTCACTCTGGGATTTCAGACAAGTTTCCCTACCTCCACACAAGGGTTATCCACTCAACAGACACAGTGCTCTGTGAGCCAGGCTGCGTGAGGGTGCAGGGCTGAAGTTGTCACACGAGCTAGTGAACAGAAGGCATCTGTCTGGCCTGTGGTAAGTACCCATTAAATGACTATTTTTGATTTCCTATGGACAAGCTGAACAGGAATGGAATGATGGAGTATCTACCAAGAGAGATAGTAAAAATGTGGTTCTTGGTATTCAGTCACTTAACAAATATGAAACAAGCGGCCAGCCACTGAGCTGGGCCCCTGCCTGGCACTTAGGTGATGGTTCTGCCTACCGAGCTGTCCACACTGCACTGCAGCACTGGGTCCGGCTCCGAGCATCACCTGTAGGATGCACCAGACCAGCCAGAATATATTCAGATGGAAGTCAAGTGTTTTTAGAAACAGGTATCTGAGCTCAGAGGGGAAAAGATATATGCAGCCAGTACTCATTCCAATACTAGAATTGGCCTCTTGGTGGAGCAGAGGGGGAGGGGATGAGCTGCATGGTTTACAGGTCCTCTGAGTCGAGACTCTGGAACCCCAAGTTAGGAATTGAGGGCAACAGTGTTCATGAGCTAGGTCACCTATACTATCACTTCCAACATACCATAAGAGCAAGTCTGGTGGCTCATGCCAGAGGTGGGCACGATGACAGGCAGATCCCTAGCAAGGTCCGTGTGTGGGCTGCAGACTCTCCCCACACCCTGGGCTTCCTTGCGGAACCCACCAAATTTAAATGTGGTTGTGATACATGGTCTTCACAGGTCCATGTCCCAGGTTCAAAGGCCTCTTGGTTCAGCCTTTGTCTGTCCCAGGAGCAGGACACTCTTCTATAGTGGCTAACAGCCTTCTTTTATCACGTGTCTTTTACTTACCTGCTGAAGAAGCAGAATTAAGCCACATAAACCACTTCCTTGGTTCTCCCAATACCTGGTCCCACTTCCCACCACTTCAGAACTCCCTGAACAAGCCTTAGAACCTAAACCAAGGCTTATAACTGAGCAGTATAAATAAGTCAAGATATGAGCAAAGTATAAAGGCCCCAGGATAAACCTCAAGTGGTCAGGTAACACCCACAAAGAATCACGACTCCCATGCTGCATTATACCTGGGCAAGGAATCAAAGGGAGAGTTTTCAGCTAATTTCACCAAAACCTGAAGGCACTGGCTGAGTACATTAGCTTGAAGGTGACCTGTTGCTGCAGAAGAGAAAGCTAACAGGCGAAGAAGCATCTTCAGTAGTGGATGCTGGCCTTGGTCACTGGCAAGGCCTCCTGGGGCTGAGGTCACGCCCCCAGGGGAAACCAGGCTCTGGTTTTCTTCCCTAGCAGCGGAACCCGCCCCCACTCCGGACAGCAGCAGGCAGACGACTGCTCCGCTGTGGCACACCAGGTGCTGGAGAACGCTCAGTGAAGCCACACAGAAGTTCTCCAGGCTGCCCAGTGAGTCCTCAGCGCTGGCCTCGACCCCAGAGCTCACGCAGGTGGAACGTGTTGGCGAGTCCCCAGGGGCTCCGCTTCTCTTGGCCACTGCCAGATCCCGCACAGCCTGACAGTGTAAGCCGACGAAGAACTGCACAAGCGGGAGGAGATGCACGGCTCCAGGAAACTGGCAGAGCGGGAAGGTCCTTCTGCCTCCCTCCGCCGGGTCTCTGTCACATGAGCCTTCATCCCTGGCAATCAGATTCAGTCCAGTAAGTGCCAGGTTCTGTGCTTCTCTGAGGGCCGAGAGGGGAAATGACCCATCACGAGAACCTGTGGTCCTCAGGCCTGAAATCCCAGTGAAGATACTAGCAACAAACACAAAAGAAAATATACGCGTGTGAGATGGAGGTCAAGTCAAGGGCCCCAACCAATCTGCCTACCGAATTCTCTAGTTACCCTGTCCAGCGCACAGGCCTCCCAGGTTGGCAAATCCCAAAAAGTTTCTGAAACTTCTTTCTAAATAAGCTTTTTAGGAGTCTTGTGCTTACCTGCCAAACCCCGGTGACTGCAACAGGGTGCCAGTAGTAGCCTCAGGGCAACTGCTCAGGAGGTGGCACAGACCTAGGGACGACCCTGGGGTCAAAGGTTGCTTCAGGAGAAGGTTTATCAAAACGGAACCTGTGGAAAACAAGGTAATTCTAGAAGGTTCTGACATGGGAGGCCTTTCTATGGCTTCAGAAGGAAACAGTGAGGGTTCCTTGGATGCCAATTGTCCTCTAAGCTGCCACTAAGCCCCACTGGGACACCCGTGGGCACTGGGGGCTCAGGGACATACCTGCTCTTGGCCCCTTCCATTTTCTAGTCTTCTAAGTCACAACTACAACGTCCCCAGACTCTCTACAGGACTGCCGGGGGCATGCTCCTCAGAGCCCACGGTTCCCCAGGCACTGGCTCAGGGCGCTGCTCCTCAGACCCCACGGTTCCCCAGGCACTGGCTCAGGGCGCTGCTCCTCAGAGCCCACGGTTCCCCAGGCACTGGCTCAGGGCGCTGCTCCTGACCCCACGGTTCCCCAGGCACTGGCTCAGGGCGCTGCTCCTCAGACCCCACGGTTCCCCAGGCACTGGCTCAGGGCGCTGCTCCTCAGAGCCCACGGTTCCCCAGGCACTGGCTCAGGGCGCTGCTCCTCAGACCCCACGGTTCCCCAGGCACTGGCTCAGGGCGCTGCTCCTCAGACCCCACGGTTCCCCAGGCACTGGCTCAGGGCGCTGCTCCTCAGAGCCCACGGTTCCCCAGGCACTGGCTCAGGACACTGGTCCTCAGAGCCCCGGACGGTTCCCCAGGCACTGGCTCAGGGCACTGCTCCTCAGACCCCACGGTTCCCCAGGCACTGGCTCAGGGCACTGCTCCTCAGACCCCACGGTTCCCCAGGCACTGGCTCAGGGCACTGCTCCTCAGACCCCACGGTTCCCCAGGCACTGGCTCAGGGCGCTGCTCCTCAGACCCCACGGTTCCCCAGGCACTGGCTCAGGGCGCTGCTCCTCAGAGCCCCAGACAGTTCCCCAGGCACTGGCTCAGGACACTGGTCCTCAGAGCCCCGGACGGTTCCCCAGGCACTGGCTCAGGGCACTGGCAGCATCCCAGAGCGAGACTGGAGCCAGGCAGGCCTCCTGCAGAAGGAGCAGGGATTCTGGTACCTTGAGTGTTTGATCTCTGCATCAGGCTGCCAACAAGACTTTTTTGGGACTCTTCTTGTTTTATGGGGTCACCTCCCAGACTGTGGTTCTTATTTTCTGAAACTAGATAAAATGTAAGTCAAACCTTGAGCACAAAAGCACTGGCATATCAAAAACTCTTAAATATAAGAAGTTTAAAACACAGATTCTTTTACTTCTAGCCAGGGATACTCAAGAACCCTCGCATCTTGTTGCCTTCCTCGTGTGCACCAGGAACTCACACAAGGAAGAGTTGTTTGCCCCACTTCAAAGCGAGGCAGTAACATAAAAGCTGTGTCCACTAACACTTATATGGAGCTTTTTATGTTCCGGACAGTTCCAAGAGCTTTGCACATCAGCTCCTTTGTTCCGCACAGCGACCTTACGAGGTGTTATCCGTATCTCTGTTTTACATGTAGGACAACTGAGGCACAAGGTTAAGGGACTTGATGAAATCACACAAGTCAGTAAGTAGCAGTGTGACTGGGCCTCGTGGCCAGGCTGGTGGATTCCACTTCCTGCTCATAACACTACCCTATACTGCTCCTGTAGTTGCTAGACTCCAAAAATGTGAGTGACTGTGGTTCTAGAGGTGGCATGATAGCCAGGGATTTGAAAGAGCTGGTGGTGGGGGGGAGAGAGGCCCTACATGTGAATTATAAGATAAGCTGGCACAGCAGTCTCAGAGTGAAAACCTACTAATGCTAGGATATGGCAGAAGTGGCACTGTGACACTTCTGAGACTAGGCCACATATAGGATAGCTTCCACCTGGCTCTCGCTCTGGGTTTGCTAGCTCTAGTGGAAGCCAGTTAGCAGGTTAGGAGGTCAGCCAAGGAGCCCTGTGGAGATGCCCGCACGTGGAGAGGAACTCTGTTGCCAGCCATGTGAATAAGTCACCTTGAAATAGATCTTCATGATTCTACTCCCTGCAGAGACAAACCTTCCCCACTGTGCCATGTCAGAATTGCTGGCCCAAAGAAACCTGGAGACAATAACTACTCATTGTTGTTTTAAGCCATAGCCTGGGTGATCTGTTATACAGCAACAGATGATGGCTAGACTGACTTACCCTCTCTGCCTGCCAGCGACTTGTATCCTGGCTCTGTCTGGCAGGGGTGGGGAAGGGGCATGTTAGCATTAAAAGACTCCTTTGTAGGGAAAGACGGTTTTCCAAATTGTGGAGAACATGCTTCTGGCTTTAGAACCACAGAAGGGCTTTTCCTAGGGCTGGAAAAAGTGAACTATGAAAGCAAAGTAATGATTCTGCTTAAACCATTTAAAATACCTGGTTATAAAACTTCTAACAAGCTTTAAACTTTTCATACCTAGGTGATTTGACCAAAGGTTTTATCTGCTATATATCTAGCATTCTTCATCAGGACAGCAGTGTAAAATTCAGGGCATTTTAATAATAATAATGATGATGATGATATATTGCCATTTATGACAAATGGATGGATCTTAAGAGTATTATGCTAAGTGAAATAAGTCAGACAGAAAAGGACAAGAATCACCTGGCCGGTTTGGCTCAGCGGTTGGAGCACTGGCCTGCAGACCAGAGAGTCCAGGTTCAGTTCCCGCTAGGCCCTAGTGGCTAGGGGCACATACCAAAAAAAAAAAAAAAAAAGAAAGAGCAAGACCGAAGTGTCCTTCCTAACATTTGCATTTGCCCTGGCCGGTTTGGCTCAGCGGTTAGAGCGTCAGCCTGCGGTCCAGAGAGACCCAGGTTCAGTTCCCGCTAAGGGCATATACCTGGGTTGCAGTTTGTCCCCGGCCCTGGTTGGGTCATGAGGGAGGCAGCCACTCGATGTGTCCCTTTCATGTCGACGTTTCTCTCTCTCTTCCTCTCTCTCCCTCCCACACTATCTGAACAAAAAATGAAAAAATGTCCTCGGGTGAGGATAAAAGAAAAAAAAGAAAAGGACAAGAATCGGATTCCAAAATGGAGGTGGAATAAATAGAAGCTACACAGATCATCTCCCAGGATCAAACTGGAATTAAAACTAAAATAAAGAGAAATCGTCGGGAAAACGCAACAGAGAAGCCGCATGTGAGGACCATATAACCAAGGACACTGCATCAATCCTGGTAGGATTGCGGAGGTGCGAGACGGGGGCTAGGAGCCCACAGAGAGCAGCGGCCTTAGCTGTGAGCAGTGCCCTCGGGGTTAAACTCCCAAGCTCACTCCACAGCACAGAGAGCTGGGAAAGAGGCTAAAATAGCACAGCCACTCACCTTGGGCTCTGGCAGAAGGAGGGCAGGCTGGACTGGAACAGTGTGGGGATACTCAGGATTTGGAGGGCACTCAGAGCTTTGCTGAGTTGCAGCCACACAGGATGGTGACCATCTTACTCCTTCCTAGGGCTCTGGGCAGAGGTGACGGCCCCTCCCTCGGAGATTGAACCCCAACCAGGAGGAATATTGAAATGCAAATTGAGGCTCATTAACAACCAGCATCTGCCCCACCCTCAGGAAATCCCCTTACATTGAACACCTGAGGGAGTTTTTCTTTTATAATTTTTTTTTTTATCCTCACCTGAGGACATTTTTCCATTTTTTGTTCAGATAGAGTAGGAGAGATAGAGAGGAAGAGAGAGAGAGAGAGAGAGAGAGAGAGAGAGAGAGAGAGAAACATCAACATGAAAGGGGTACATCAAGTGGCTGCCACCTGCACAACCCAACCAGGGCCGGGGACAAACTGCAACTGAGGTATGTGCCCTTAGTGGGAACCGAACCCGGGTCTCTCTGGACCGCAGGCCAACGCTCTAACCACTGAGCAAAACCGGCCAAGGCTGGGAGTTTTTCTCTTTTTTTTTTTATCCTCACCTGAGGACATTTTTCCATTTTTAGTTCAGATAGAGCGGGAGGGAGAGAGAGGAAGAGAGAGAGAGAGAAACATCGATGTGAAGGGACACATCGAGTGGCTGCCACCCTCACGACCAACCAGGGCCGGGGACAAACTGCAACCGAGGCACATGCCCTTAGCGGGAACCGAACCCGGGTCTCTCTGTACCGCAGGCCGACGCTCTAACCACTGAGCCAAACCGGCCAGGGAAAGGCTGGGAGTTTTTCAATCAACTGAGAACCCAAGGCTCTTCAAGTAACCGTGACTAATAGCCTCCAGGCAAAAAGCTATAGGATAACTGAACTGTTCCTGGGTTTGCAACTCTACTCAGGAAATAAGACTTGACAGTGGTGTTTAACGTGGGTCCTCCCATGCTCATCCAAACCCAACAGAGGGAGCTACAAACAGCAGAACACCAACACCCACAGGGCAAATTTGGCAGGCTCCAAAACCCACTGAGATAGCCAAAATGGTGAACCAAAGAAACAAATCTCAAATGAAAGAACAAGAGACCTCTACCAAAGATGAGATAAATGAAATGCAGTTGAACAAGTTAAGAGAGCTAGAATTCAGAGCCATGATCTTGAGGAAGCTTAACAGCATGAGTAAGGACATCAACACCATGAGTAAAGACATAGAAATACTGAAAATCAACCAATTGGAAATGAAAAACCACCAAGAAGAAATAAAGAATGACATAGCAGAAATAAAGAACACATTGGAAGGACTAAACAGCAGAGTAGAGGAAGCTGAGGAAGCTGAGGACCAGATCAGTGAATTAGAAGACAGGGTAGAAAAAAATCAACCAATCAGAAAACCAAAAGGAAAAAACAATTAAAAAACATGAAGACAGCTTTAGAGAACTGTGGGACAACTGGAAACATAATAATATTCGCATCATAGAAGTTCCCAAAGACAAAGAAAATGAGCAAGGGTTACAGAATATATTTGAAGAAATAGTGACAGAAACTTCCCTTATTTGGTGAAGGAAGAAGGCATTCAAGTCCAAGAAGCACAGAGAGCCCCAAGTAAAAAGAACCCAAACAGGCCCACACCAAGACACATAGTAATTAAAATGTCAAAAATTAAAGACAAAGAGAGAATCCTAAAGGCAGCAAGAGATAAACAACAGGTTACCTACAAAGGAACCCCTATAAGGCTATCAGCTGACTTCTCAACAGAAACCTACAGGCCAGAAGGGAATGGCATGAAGTAATCAAGGTCATGGAAAACAAGGATCTGAATCCAAAACTACTCTACCCAGCAAGGCTATTATTCAAAATAGAAAGTCAAATAAAGAGCTTCCCAGACAAAAAAAGGGGAAGGGAATACATTAGCACCAAACCAGCACTGCAAGAAATTTTAAAAGGACTGCTGTAATTAGTAAAAGAAATAGAAAGAAAAATATAACCACACTAAACAAAAATGGCAATAAATAAGTACATATCAATAATCACCTTAAATGTAAATGGACTGAATGCTCCGATAAAAAGACACAGAGTAGCTGATTGAATAAGAAAGCATGACTCATATATATGTTATTTACAAGAGACCCACCTCACAACAAAAGACTCACATAGGTTGAAAGTGAAGGGATGGAAAAAAAATCTTCCAAGCAAACAAAAAGGAAAAAAAAGCTGGGGTAGCAATACTCATATCTGATAAAATAGATTTCAAAATGAAGGCCATAACTAGAGACAAGGAAGGCCACTACATAATATTGAAAGGATTTATCCACCAGGAAGATATAACCTTGGTAAACATATATGCACCCAATATAGGAGCACCAAAATATATTTAAAATCTTCTGGAGGACTTCAAAGGAGAAATCAACAGCAATACAATCATAGCAAGGGACTTCAACACCCCGCTGACATCACTGGATAGATCCTCTAGACAAAAAATTAGCAATGAAACAGACTCTAAATGAAGCACTAGACCAAATAGATGTAATAGATATCTACAGAGAATTACATGCCAAAACTACAGAATTCATATTCTTCTCAAGTGCACATGGGACATTCTCAAAGACAGACCACCTGTTAGGATACAAACTAAGTCTTTACAAGTTCAAGGAGATTAAAATCATATCAAGCATCTTCTCAGATCACAATGGCACAAAACTAGAAATCAATTGCAACAAGAACATGCAAAGACATTTGAACGCATGGAGACTAAATAGCATGTTGTTAAACAATGAATGGGTTACTAAGGAGATCAAGGAAGAAATTAAAAACTTCCTGGAAACCAATGAAAATGAACACACAACAACACAAAATCTATGGGATGCAGCAAAAGCAGTTCTAAGGGGAAGTTCATAGCACTACAGGCCTACCTCAAGAAACAAGAAAAATTTCTAATAGACTATCTAACCTCACAACTTAAAGAACTAGAAAGCAAACAAAAAGAAAACCCCAGAGCAAGTAGAAGAAAGGAAATAGTCAAGATCAGAGCAAAAATAAATTACATAGAGACCAAAAAAACAATTCAAAGGATCAATGAAACAAAGAGCTGGTTTTTCAAAAAGATAAACAAGTCTGATGGACCCTTGGCTAGACTCACCAAGAAACAAAGGGAGAGAACCCAAATACACAAAATCAGAAATGAAAGAGGAGAAGAAACAACTGACACCACAGAAATACAAAGGATCATTAACAACTACTATGAACAATTATATGGCAACAAATTAGACAATCTAAGCAAAATGGACAAATTTCTAGAAACACATAGTCTCCCAAAACTGGACCAGGAAGGGATAGAAAACTTGAACAGAGCAATTACAACTAAGGAAATTGAAGAGGTAATCAAGACTCTCCCAGCAAACAAAAGCCCAGGCCCAGATGGCTTCACCAGGGAGTTTTACTGAACATTCAATGAAGAACTAACACCCATTCTTCTCAAACTATTTCTTTTTTTTAAAAGAGTTTCTTTTTTTTAATCCTCATCCAAGGACATTTTTTTTTTTTTTTTTTTTTTTTGCATTTATCTTCAGATAGAGCAGGAGGGGAGAGGGAGGAAGAGAGAGAGAGAGAAGCATCCACGTGAGACAGACACATGGAATGGTTGCCACCCACACGACCCCAACCGGGGCTGGGGACAAACTGCAACCGAGGTATATGCCCTTAGCTGGAACTGAACCCAGGACTCTCCGGTCCATGGGCTGACACTCTAACTGCTGAGTCAAACTGGCCAGGGCTCCTCAAACTATTTTAAAAAATTCAAGAAGAAGGAAGACTTCCAAACTCGTTCTATGAGGCCAGCATAATTCTAATACCAAAATCAGAAAAAGACACTGCAAAGAAAGAGATATCATTAGGCCAATATCCCTGATGAACACAGATGCCAAAATCCTTAACAAAATACTAGCAAATTGGATCCAGGA